TTTCCTCCATTATATCTGCCTTTGAACATCCAAACACTTTCAGAATACTGAGTGGAGATAATTTGCTAGCACAGTGGGGAATGGAACTATTAAAGAGATCCTATTATTCAAAAAACATGAAACTAATAAATGCAATACATGCATTAGTATTTACACATCTATTTCACTTTTAACATCTAAATGTATTGGTTTGTTAATTATATTGTGTCTTGGCCAATAGCTATTTTCCTGAGAGAGATGCCCGGGATATCTACGCATTCATCATGTCCCATACTCCTAAGTAATGCATATTGGATGCAAACATGTTTAAAAGCATTTAGAAAAAAAAAAAAAAAAATCAAAAGGTTTATTAGTGACTGGGTCATGCATGAAAAGAGGCTGCTGTCCTTCCTTGTGTGGGTGGTGGCTGAATTCTCAGTGTGTTTTCACTTTTTCGGGAAACTAAAGTGATATGCACATTCAAATTCAGTAATGATAGTACAACCTGATGGATCTTGGATGGTCACATTTCCTATGAAAGACCAATAAGTCTACCCTACGTGGGGGAGGGGGGGGGGGGTGCGTTGGGGAGGGCAGTTTTTGCTGAAGAAGCAAGTAGCAAAGTGTTGAGAGTACTGCCACTACCCACATATTGATGCGTGAAGTGGACCCTAACAATGAAAAATCTAGTAATGTTGAAAAGTGGCTGGAAGAAGGAGAAATAAAACTAACTTTCCAATAATCTGTGGTTCTTGATAGATTTGGAACTATTTTAACAAGTATATGTCTATTTTATTTTATTTGGACTCAAATGTGGCACCTTCAAAGTCCCAACCCTTGCTATGGTTTGGGGTATGTGTTAAACATACCTTTGGCAGTTTCCTTCCTGCATTGCCTGAATGGTGGGACATTCTGGCAAAGCTTAGACAGTTGAGTATACAGTCATGGCCAAAAATATTGATACCCCTGCCAGATATCTGTCAGATAATGCACCACCACTTTGCCCAGAAAAGTGTTGCAATTACAAATTTTTCAGCCTCCTCATGTTTATTTTTTGTATTGGTATGACACAAAAAGCCAAATCTGACACATTCCATGCAAAACCCCAAAAATGGACTGGACACAATTATTGGCACCTTCTCAAAATTGTATTGCATTCCAAGTTTGCGATGCTCCTGTAATTTGTAATTAAACTCACCTGTGTCTCAATGAACAGGTGCTGACAATATAGAAATCACACCGGCAAACAGTTAAAATGGTGCAAAATTGACTCGACTTCTGTGTTTCTCTGCTGCTCTTTCTTATCTCCATGCTCCATGTGGCATGCAAAGAATTGTCTGGGGATTTGAGAACAAAAATTGTGGAAAAGCATGGACAATCTCAAGGTTACAAGTCCATCTCCAGAGATCTTCTCCTCTTCATGCCGAGCGCACGCAAATGTGCGGCCTCTCGGTGTCTGGGCCTTGACGCCGAGCAGCCACACATTTGCGTGCAAAAAAAAAAAAAAAAAAACCGTGCTGAGAGTGCGCGCCCTGAGCACTCCCACCACACTTGTCCGGTACTCACAGAAAGGTCCCGATCTCTTGTGATCGGGACCTTTCGCGATCATATGACCGCTGTGACAGCGAATCACGGCAGTCACATGACCCTAAAACCCCACCCGCCTCCCAGCTACTGAACCCGTTAAAGGGCCGGGAGGCGCCTGCGCCGAGGGGTTAATGTTTCTGTGTCCATTGTACGCAACATTGTTCAGAGGTTTACAGCCTATGGCACTGTAGCTAATCTCCCTGGACGTTGATGAAAGAGAAAAATTGATCAAAGATTGCAATGGGTTGTTCGAATGGTGGCTAAAGAACCTCCAATCAACTTCCAGATAAATTCAAGCTGTGTTTCAGGCACAGGATACAACTGTGTCAGCTTGCACTATACGTTGCCATCTGAATGAAAAGGGATGTTATGGTAGGAGACCCAGGAAGGCCCCACTGCTGACACAAACATAAAAAAGCCAGATTGGAGTTTGGCAAAACTTACCTGAGGAAGCCAAAATCCTTTTGGGAGAATGTGCTGTGGCAGACGAAACAAAATTACAGCTTTTTGGTAAAACCCATCATTCTACTGTTTTCAGAAAAAGCAGTGAGGCCTTTAAAGAAAAGAATGAAGGCCCTACAGTTAAACATGGTGGAGGTTCACTAATTTTTGGGGTTGCTTAGCTGCTTCAGGCACTGGATGTCTTGACCGTGTGTATGGCATTATGAAATCTGAAGACTGCCAAAGAATTTTGGGGTGCAATGTAGGGCCCAATGTCTTACAGCAGGACAATGACCCAAAGCACCCAATCACCCAGAAATGCTTTCAAAGCTCTGGAGAGGACTGAACTGGCCACCAATGAGTCCAGATCTCAATCCCATAGAACACCTGTGGAGAGATCTCAAAACAGCAGTTGGGGAAAAGGAGCCCTTCCAATCTGAGAGACCTGGAGAAGTTGGCAAAAAAAAAAAAAAAAGAGTGCTCCAAAATTCCAGTAGAGAGGTGGGAAAAAACTCATTGATGGTTACAGGAAGCCATTGATGTCACTTATTTTTTCCAAGGGTTGTACTACCAAATATTAACTTGAGGGTGCCAATAATTTAATTTAGTCCAGTCCATTTTTTGCAGTTTTTCGTGCAATGTGTCAGATTTGGCTTTTTGTTTCTCCACTTTTTTGTCTCCTAGTAATACAAACAAAAGAAATAAACATGAGAATGCCGAAACTTTTGTAATCGCAACAATTTTCTGGGCGAAGTGGTGCATTATCTGACAGATACGCAGGGGTGTAAATTATATTTTTGGCCATGGCTGTAAATTTGCCTTCCCTTTCCTGCCTCCTGAACATTCCTATTAGCCAATGAGGCAGCCTATCCTAATGATTACATGTAAATATATATACAAATATATATAAGGTGCAGCGCTAAAATAACATAAATAACATTATAAATTAAGTGCAAATATCAAATCACACTAAGGTGAGATTGAGTGAAATGAATAGTCCCAAAATAAAGCCCAGCGTGGGGATCCGATAGATCTTAATAGGTGCGTGGGATAAAGTTCCAGTGTACCACACGGTGAATCTGGGGTAAAAATTGCGCACTCACCAGAAGTGCGTCAAAAATACGCATGTAAGATTTATCCTGTAGTATCGGATAGCGGTCATCAATTGCCAAGATAAGGACAGGGTCCTACACCTTCCAATCGCAACTTGGGTTGGATACTCCAAAATTCATATATGTGTCTCAAGCGTGTCACCATCTGGGGTCCCCTTTTTTTAACAGGTTCTGTAAGTGGGGACTCGGTTCTGATGAGAGATGAAAAGAATTGCCTGTCCCAGTGGGAAGTCCTTCAGTCATGCAGTTTTACAGGTTCCTCTCTTGTACTGGAATGCTTACTCTGATTTCACTGCACACTCAAAAAGGGGACCCCAGATGGTGACACGCTTGAGACACATATATGAATTTTGGAGTATCCAACCCAAGTTGCGATTGGAAGGTGTAGGACCCTGTCCTTATCTTGGCAATTGATGACCGCTATCCGATACTACAGGATAAATCTTACATGCGTATTTTTGATGCAATTCTGGTGAGTGCGCAATTTTTGCCCCAGTTTCACCGTGTGGTACACTGGAACTTTATCCCACGCACCTATTAGGATCTGTCGGATCCCCACGCTGGGCCTTATTTTGGGACTTTTCATTTCACTCAATCTCACCTTCGTGTGATTTGATATTTGCACTTACCGTATTTTTCGCTCCATAAGACGCACTTTTTTTCCCCAAAAAAGGGGGGAAAATGTCAGTGCGTCTTATGGAGCGAATATAGAGCGGCCGGTCCGATATTCCCACCGCCGCCGTGTCAGAATACCGGGCCGGCCGCTCAGCTCTGCAGTGGGACCTTACCTGTCCCTCTATCCAGCGGCGCGCTGTCTTCCCGGCTTCTGTAGTGTGCGTGACAGCCGGGTCCCAAGTGCGCATGCGGAAGAAGCAGTGCTCTTTGTGAATGGTAAGGCGGTACCTGGGACACATGACAGATCCCAGAAGCCGCCGGACCAATCACAAAACGCAGCGCTTCTCGCGCATGCGCACTGGGCATCCGGCTGTCCGAGCGCCCACACTACAGAAGCCGGGAAGACAGGGCGCCGCTGGATAGAGGAACAGGTAAGATAAAAAAAAAAAACTCTGCGGAATAGCGGGTACCTGTCAAATTCAGGTACCCGCTCCCCCTCCCTCCCCAAAGGTCAGCAGTCCTCTCCTGTACTGTCCGCAGTCTCTGGTCATCCCTGTACTGTCCGCAGTCTCTGGTCATCCCTGTACTGTCCGCAGTCTCTGGTCATCCCTGTACTGTCCGCAGTCTCTGGTCATCCCTGTACTGTCAGCAGTCTCTGGTCATCTCCTCTACTATGTCTGCAATCCATTAGTTCAGAATTTTTTTTTTCCTGTTTTCTGCCTCTAAAACCTAGGGTGCGTCTTATGGTCAGGTGCATCTTATGGAGCGAAAAATACGGTAATTTATAATATGTTATTTATGTAATTTGTTATTTTAGCGCTGCACCTTTATATATATTTACATGTACTTTACTGGAAGGTTCTTTCTTGGTTACCTTTTTTGGTGTTCTAGCCGCTGTCCTTTTGAGATCCCCGGATAGCGCTCGCATATTATCTTTTTATTATCCTAATGATTGCCCAATACCAACAGGAATGTGCTGGAGGGCCATGGACAAGCTCTGCCGCTTGGAGGAAGACATTTGGGCAGGATCAAACACTACCCCGTGTGTGTGTGTTTGTCACTCTCATGAGAAAATATTCTCATAAACAATCAAAATTCTGATCAGAGCAAACAAAATTGTGAGAAATCAGTACTCTGTGTTGCTTCATGTGATGCTATGGAAAGTAGAGCTCTTCTTTAAAGATAGGAAAGTGTAATAGAACAAAACGAGTGTGCCTCTTTTATGTCACATGATCTTTTTTTTTTTTTTTTTCTCTTCCTCTTCAGATCCTCGTTCATCTGGGCCTCTTAACAAAGGAATCTGGTTTCAAGATAGCTGAAAATGCGTTCAGCGGAGGGCCGCTCGGCGAATTAGTCCAATGGAGTGACTTAATTACATCTCTTTACTTACTGGGCCATGATGTCAGGATTTCAGCTTCAATAGCTGAGCTGAAAGAGTAAGAAGATTACTTTCAACGTTAAAACCAACTCTGATCGCACAGTGACTGTAGACACGTTCTCAGTGTGTGGTATTTGTCAGGGGGAGAAGCAGCCGAGTATTCCGGTGACTAATTGCGTTTAAGAAGATTACTTTTATTTCTGCACTGTGTTTTTGGTATTGTTGGGTATTTAATTTTCCTGTTGGTTCTTTTCTGGAAAACTAATCTGTACTGAAGGAAAAAATACAGGAGAACACAAGATTACTGTGTAGGCACAGTCCCTGTAATGTTCTGGAATGCATCTATAAGAAATATAATATTGCAGCTTGCCAGTCCTTAGATGTGGTGGCTGCAATAGGGGTTTTTTTTTTTTTTTTTTTTTAAATGAAGGATCCAGTTTTTCAGAAAAATGTTTTTTTAAAAGTCTGACATCACTTTTATAGAAAAAAAACTGATGTAATAGTGGTGAAGCTCCTTTCCTCTACCAGTGCAGCACTGCAGGAACGGACTGCTTTTCCCATGATGCAATGAAATTTGTAGCTGCTAATGAGCGTGAATGTGATCAGGCCTGTGACTGATCTATGTCAGACCCGTGTGCATCAAATCCTAGTGTTGTCAGGTGCATCGGAGGCATAGGTGCAATGTTGAGCACTGCTGTCAGTGGTCTGTCAAACTCTATGACCCTTTTGCTTTTTGAGCATGTGGCCCTACCACCCTGCCCGCTGGGTACAGTGTCCAGCTGAAGCATATTGTCAGTAAACGCACAGATCTGACACACTGGGGCCAAACCATGTGCATGTAGCCTAAATGTGAGTACAAAAATCCAGGAGGATCCCTGAGGGGAAAAGGGAACTTTGAGAGTAGTGTGACACTATCTGGCAATCAGACTTAAAGTGGTTCTAAAGGGTTTTTTTACCTTAATGCGTGAACGTAAAAAAAATAAACCTGCATGCACCTATCCCCCCCCCCCACCCCCCTCTTGTACTTGCCTGATCTAAATCCAGCACTGTGAATAAGCGCAGAGGCTCCCTGTGCTTTTAGGGACATAGGCTAAAGTGGTTATAAACCAATGTAAACAAAGGATATCACTCTATGCTGTGCACTTTTTTTCAGTCCAGAGCACTAAGTGTCATTTCTCTCTGTTGCCTTGTTCCTTTGCCATCAGCATGAGTCACTTCTGACATGATTCCTGACACCAAGAGATAAAAAGGTGACAGGAGGGAGCTCCAGCACACAGCCTGTGATTGACAGCCTCAGCTCTGTTCCTTTGTGCTGTGGGAAGGGTGGGCGGGAATGGGGGGGGGGGTATACGTTGCTTTTCCACAGTCAGCTGTTGCTGAGATCTGCAGAGTGCATGTGAACGTCACAGGGCCAATCAGTGCTGTCCAGATTAGAGGGTCAGGGGTCTTGCAGACTCATATGACTATCAAGGGAGAATGAAAACTCCTCTTACAAGGTTAACCAGTGCTCAGATACACTGATAGAAGTCCCAAGACTGTTCTAACTGCTGATGAGAAAAGGTATTTAGCAGTTTCTATTTACGTTCTGTGTACTGTGGGGGACCAGATATAGTGAATGCAGGGTCCTGGGAGACCAGATATAGTGAATGCAGGGTCCTGGGAGACCAGATATAGTGAATGCAGGGTCCTGGGAGACCAGATATAGTGAATGCAGGGTCCGGGGAGACCAGATATAGTGAATGCAGGGTCCGGGGAGACCAGATATAGTGAATGGGGAGACCAGATATAGTGAATGCAGGGTCCGGGAGACCAGATATAGTGAATGCAGGGTCCGGGGAGACCAGATATAGTGAATGCAGGGTCCGGGGAGACCAGATATAGTGAATGCAGGGTCAGGGTCCTGGGAGACCAGGTATAGTGAAATGAATAGTGGATGCAGGGTCAGTGAATGCAGGTCCAGGGTCTGGGGAGACCAGATATAGGGATGAGACCAGACCAGATATAGTGAATGCAGGGTCCGGGGAGACCAGATATAGTGAATGCAGGGTCCGGGGAGACCAGATATAGTGAATGCAGGGTCATGGGTTTAGTAACACTTTAAGCAAGTCACTGAGTTCAGTGATTGCAAAGGATCATTGTAAGCACTCTGGAAAATCTCAGCAATTTATGACGGTTTCCCTTTCTCTTTTATATAAAAGGGAGAGGTCTTTTCATGGTTGAGTCAACCCCTGGCTTCTTATATATGCTTATGCTGAGTGAAGCTTTAAAAGCTTGCATTGCATAATTTTATATATATTTTTAACTAGTTCACATCTGTTCCACTATGACAGCCTTCTCTTGGCTTTGTACAGCGGGACAGGGTTAGAATTGCTGCCCATTAAGCAAAGTTCCCCTTCACTTCCTGTTCCAGTGACCTGTCACAAGAACAGTATATGACAAGAGATCTCTCTGATAGGGGCAGAGATGGTAACAGAAATACCTTCAATAGCAATAGAACATCAGTCAGGTGTTTTTTTTTTTTGTTTTTTTTTGTTCCGATGAGACACTCACTCTTCTACAATGCCTTGATGTTGTCAGTACAGGAAGTATGGATACATCTCCCCAAACAAGGACATGGCAAGAAAAACCTTGCAGAAGTTCTGATGCTTAACTACTGTTATCAAAATTACTTTGAGTTGTGGCATATTCACAGTACTGGCTGTTGGGTATATAGATTTTCTAAAATGTTTGCTTTTTTTTGTTGCATTTTTTTCTAAACTCAAAATAGGGCTCTGTTATGAGGGCTGCTTAGATGCATACCATGCTCAGCCACCTGCTGCAAATGGATATGCCCGTACATCCTAAAATTTCAGTGGCTCCACCAGGATCATGAATTATTATTTTTATTATACAGGATTTATATAGCGCCAACAGTTTGCTCAGCGCTTTACAATATAACGGGAGACAATACAGCAACAATACAGTTCAATACAAGAGGGATTTGAGGGCCTGATCCTGGGAGCTTACAATCTAGGAAGGAGGGGGCTAGTGGTACAAAAGGTAGTAACTGTGGGGGATGGACTGGTTGGAAGAGTAGAAGATTCCAGTATTAGCTGAGGGCAGGATAGGCTTCCCTGAAGAGAGAGGTTTTCAGAGATTGCCTAAAAGTGAGCAGAGTTGGCAATAGTCTGATAAATTGGGGTAGAGAGTTCCAGAGGATGGGGGAAGCTCTGGAGAAGTCCTGGAGACGACCATGGGAGGAGGAGACAAGGGAGCTAGAGAGTAGGAGGTCTTGCGAGGAGCGGAGAGTACGGTTTGGGTGATATTTGGAGACAAGATTGGTGATGTAATTTGGGGCAGAGTTATAAATGGCTTTATGTTATTGTTAGTGTTTTTTTGAATTTTATCTGTTGGGCAATGGGAAGCCAGTGGAGGGATTGGCAGAGGGGGGTGGAGGACACTGAGTGGAGGCCAGTGGAGGGATTGGCAGAGAGGGGTGGCAGATACAGAATGGTTAGTAAGGTGGATGAGTCTGGCAGCAGCATTCATGACAGACTGAAGAGAGGATAGCCTGCGATGAGGTCGGCCAATGAGGAGGGAGTTACAGTAGTCAGGGCATGATATAACAAGGGAGTGAATAAGTTGCTTAGTGGTTTCCAAGGTTAGGAATGGGCGTATCTTGGAGATGTTTCAGATTTTAAGTCTACAAGATTTGGGGCTGAAAGGACAGATGGGAGTCTATGATTACACCTAGTACCCTGGCATGAGGGGGGACTGATAATTGTGTTCTTGAATGCAGCTGCAGTCACAATACTGGTATGTGGGGATTTTTTTGCTCTATAAAGTAAGTGATCGGCGCGGCTATACAGCCGTTAGTTCACTTTTACAAGTGGCAGAAGGGGGTCTCCTGCCACTGCCTGCCACCCTCCTGTTCCACCAGAGCCCAAGACTGAAATGGATAGAGATAGAGTAACTTCTGTTTCCTGATCATCTCTATGATGTTTGAAACCAGAATCAAGGATTTTGTCACTTCATGTTTTGGTCTGATATTTACAAATAGTTACTGTCTTGTGTTTTACAAGACTGATCTTGGTTTGATCAGCTGCTTTGAGGGCAGAGGAGAGGCTTGGGTCTAATAGACCCCAGATTTCTCAGTAAAGATTAACTGTCACTGCCCATGCCACTACAAGGATGTTGTTCATCCTGTATGATGGCATTAAAGTTGAGCATAAAAAAAAAAAAAAAAAATGAAATGGGGAGACAGCGACAAAACTAATTTTAAATCAAATTAAAAATGTAAAGCTCCCCAGTCCCCCTTGTGCTCACGCGCTAATGCGAACACATATGTAGATAATGCATGCATATGTAAACGGCGATCACACCACACTTGTGAGGTATTGCAGCAAATGTCAGAACAAGAACAATAGTTCTAGCACCCGACCTCCTCCTGTTTAACTCTAGACTGGTAACCTGTAAAGATGTTTAAAGCATCGCTTTAATTGTCAGGTACTTTAGTTTGTTGCCATTCCACTAGCATGTGCTGCTTTGAAGCGTGACATGTTTGGTATCTGTTTACTCAGCCTAGCATCCTCTTTTATAGTTTACCAAACAGCTGTGTACTGTTTGTACTAAATTTCATTAGTGTGTTTCCTGAACATTTGCGCTTGATAATCCACTGCGCAAATATCGTGTGATGTAAAAAGTCACCATTTTTTTTTTCTCCAGGACCTTTGCTTTTGAAAAACTGAAACATTTGTTTGGGCACCCAAACATGATATAAGTAATTAATTACAAAAAAAGTAGATTTTTACATGTATGTGAGAAGTGTCAGAATTGGCCTGGTCAGCAAGTGATTGATGAATGTTTGTTTTGTTTTTTTTTTATGGCGGACTGCTGGTCTGTGATCATTTCTATGCAGAACAGTCTTATATCTGATATTCTGTTTTTTGGCTCAATCAGACTTGCTAGATGAAGCTCATTCTTATGCCATTTACAGCTGCCACTCCTGTCTGTACATCTTGTAATGATGATCACATATCCATGGCAGCAGCCCTGCTGTAGTGGACTTCTCCAAGAGGTTAAGTAGTTGGCCACTAAATTATATTAAATAGTCTTCCTTTGTATCCTCTGCTTGGCCATGCTAATCTCCAATAATAAACTGTTGCCTCTGATATAAGAAAGGCTTTGACCTGACTGGTGCAAGAGGACGTAAATTATAATAATCTGACTACCTAAACACTCAGAGTAATGAAAGGAGTAAATTAAAAATGTCTGTTGTAGATCTAGTTCTTTAAAGCTCCACTCCGGACTATTAAAACATTCTCTCCATCTCTTGCTCGCACTTCAACGGTTAATTGCTTATTTTGTCAGGAGAAGAGGAGAAACTTTCACTTACCTGATCCTCCGCTCCCCCACTCTCCAGCAGTGGACTGTCCCTCTTCATCCTCAGGGCTATGGACCCCACTCTGGTCTTAATGACTTTGGGACCCTAGACCAGTGGAATGTGAGGGTGGACACTGTGGGGACTGATCTAGCTGTGAGGAGTGAAGGATCAGGTAAATCTTCTTTTTTTTTTTTTTTTTTTTTTTTTCTTTTTCTTCTTTCTTTTCTTCTAGGTGTAAATGAGCAATTAACGCTGCAATGTGGGCACATCCCCACTTCAAGGGATAATGTTTTGTTTGCCCAGAGTTTGGTTTTAGGATTATTGAAATCCATCAACCACCCTAACTGGCTGCATGTGTTTGGGATTTGATTGTTTGAAACCAAACTGGAAAATCCTGAATGCATCTGCGTTTACCTAGAATACATGTCTATTGATCCATTTAAAGGAGAAGTAGGGCCAAAGCTCTTTTGGCCCTACTATTCCACCTTGGGGATTACAGGAGTGCACTTGGTTCTGTAGTCCTGTGACCCATATTCTGTGGACAGAGGGCTAAAGCCTGGTGTCACTCAGCCAGTCCAGCCTCTGGAGAGATGAAGACTGTCAGGATCCACCCAGATGCCTGACCGGCAGCTGGCTCGGCCTGAGGCTGGCCATACACTATACATTTTTCTGACAAATTTCTGCCCAATTTCCTTTAGATTTACCTTCAACTATGTAGTGCAAAGGCTTGCCCAATTGAATACAATTGAAAATGTTGTTTAGGTTTGACCTCCTGTTATATGGTTTTTGGTAAATATAAAGCAAAATTCTCAAGAAAATTGTATAATGTATGGCCAGCATGAGCCATCCACTTCCGCCCCCTGTACAGCCTGGCACTCCAGTGAGGACTGGAGGGGTGGAGCAGAGAGTCTGTAACTTACATTCATCGGCTTTCTGCTCACTGAAGACCAAGAACTGAGTGATCAGCTGATCGCTCATTTCGGTCTTGGAGCCGGCGGGGGGGGGGGGTAGATACAGCATCAGACTAATGCTGTATCCACCTAGGTCAGTAAATGTTTGTTTTATTTTTAGTAGATGTAAACTCTGTCATCTCATTGATGCTGATCTCCTACAGACATTTCCTGAATACAAGCACATCAGCAATGTGCATTGCATTTCTAAGGTTTCCTATTGGCCCCAACAGTAAAAAATACCTTTGTAGTTCTATTGAAGCATCTGTGTGTAGGCTCCACCAGAAGCCCATGTTAAAGAACGACAGCTCGGTACACAAGGACGGAATATTGTGACCCCAGAATAGTGTTCACATTAGTAGTTCCCTCTTCCAGCTGTAGTTTAATTTATCATGCGACTTCTTTTGTTTTCATAAAATCTTCTATTTCTCCAGGATCATGAAGAAGGTTGTGGGAAACAGATCAGGCTGCCCTACCCAAGGTGATAAAGTGGTGGAACTCATCTATATCGATATTGTGGGACTGGCTCAGTTCAAGAAGACTCTCGGCCCTTCCTGGGTGCACTATCAGTAAGTGGCATGCAGAAAATATCATTTTCACAGCAGGCTTGTAAGTGTTCTAAAGTAGTGGAGCCCCTTTTATCACAAATTGTTTTATTATAGATCTAGCCCTTGTGTGTTTGTTCAAATTCCCAAAACCCACCCATTTATGTATACCATGGACCACAACTGCTGGATTTGTAGCTCAACTTCAGCCATGCAGATAATAGCCAGTTTAAAGGCATATTTGTAAACTTTTTTTACCTGCTGAAGTGTTTGTGATTTGTTAAGCCTCTCTTGTATTTCATGCACCTCTGTACTGTCTTCATGGTTCATACACCAGCGTCTTGTATCAGGATTTCATTAGCAAGGTCTCCCTTCTGGAATTGCCAGTTCCACCCATGGCTAATGATTTCATGATTTTATGCTGGATTCCCATTGCTGGGCCATGGGTTGTGCCGTAGTATGAAATGGTACACAGAATATTTAGTCATGATGTTCTCCTCCAGCGATAATGGCACCATGTCTCCCATATCAGAGTGTGTTCAGTAATTGGGCTGCCACTGATGTAACTCCAACACATACACACTGGACTTGTGTTATCCCACAAGCCAGCTCTATCCTGAATGTGCGCTGCTTCTAAAAAAAATAAAATAAATAAATACATTTTTTTTTTCTTGTCAGAAGACTTTTTTTTCCAATATAACTAAACTAGCAGTTTTTTTCGTTTTTTTTTTTTTTTTTTTTTTTTTTTTAAATTAAACTCTGGGCACAAAAGAAACCTAATAAATCCACTTTGTGTGCAGCAAATGCCTTTGGAAGCCCAATTATTATGTTGTAAATGTAGCAGTGACATGATTGTGCAGCCCATAGCTTGTGTAGAAAGAGTAGCACAGCAAGCTTCACCCACTACCGGCTGCCTGCAGAAAATACAGGAGGGGGCAGAGACAACCAGTCACTCAGCACAGAGAGCAAGCAGCAGTGATTGGTCTCCATCCTTGCCATCTTAATGGCATCATGGGCCTCTGGGCAAAGTAATGTACTGGGGTCCCTACCGGGGAGATGGTGAGCTGTGGCACATGGTGTGCTGCTAAATAATGCTACATATTGGGATTGGCTTTTTAGTCTGATTGGGAAAAAAAATGAAAATTTCTAATTTTTAAATTATTTTTTTCCAACCTTTTATATATTTTTTCACAATGCTGTTGGGGGAGGGGATGTCTTTAGTGAGATGTCAGGACACTTGAACTCTCTTGTTTGAGACAAAGGATCTAAGGCTCCTGTTCATTAATACACTGAAGCATTAAATTAACCGTTTCCAATGCTTCAGTTATGAACACCGTGAGTGATTGGTACTGATCACTCACTGTGTTCATTTAGAAACATAAGGGGCCAGTAAATAACATGTTTACCGGCCCCTTCCCCCACTCTCCATCCTGAGAATTCCCTGCAGCCGGAAGGAGAGGAGGGACACCAACAGGAGAAAAGGGAAGCCGCTAGCGCTGTAGATGGGCACACAGTGGACCCAAGCAGCGGGGAAATCACATGCGGTCAAGACGAGGGGTGATCAGTCTGTGGGTGGGGGAAATTACTGGAACCAATCTTTTTTGGATCTGCCAGCTTTCAGCTGCTGCAATGAAAGCCACACAGAAGATTGGTTTTGGTTATTTCCCCTATCTGCTGTACTGATCACTTCCCCAAGGGTGGGAAACGGCAGGGGTCCCCCATGTACCTGGCCCAGGCGCTCCCATGCAAAAAGTCTGCCCTAGTCTTTATAACAGAGGCAAAATTTCACCCTGGATCATTGCATAGCTCTGGACAAAGCACACAAAGATTCAAGTAGGAATAAACATGACTTTTTATAATCTTCCTTCTGCTTTAAAGTAAACTAGAGAAATGATTGGGAGTTTGAGCTGTGAAAGTGACCTTTTCATAAAGGTTTTGTGGAAGGAGAAAGGCGCACAAATCTGCAAAGCGCTTTTGCTACTAGTGTTTGAGAAATAAAAGCCGTGGATTATTCAGTTTGAAAGCTGTTGTCCTTTTAAACCGGTTTATCTTTGTTAATGGATGTTGTCTTGAAATCTGTATCATTTTGAATGATGGAAAAGTTGTTAGATCACAAAGAATACGTTCAAGTACATAAGTGACATTTCTTGCTCATCGGGTATGTTGAAATGTTTACATACTGTGGATTGCTCCAATGACCTTGTAGCCCTCCATTTCATACCCCGAGTTATACCTGCCCATCCAGCCAACACCCTTATTAATACACAGGTATATTTACAACAGGCAGTTCATGCAGTGGTGTGGCCTTGCAGTGCAGGGATCCTGAGATCAACTCACGCCAGTCATTGCATGAAGTTTTTATATTTCCAGGATTTGGGTTTCCTGACAGTAATCCTATTTCTACCCACAGTTCAGAATAAAGACTGGTAGGTGAACTGACCTTGATGCTAAGGCCCCATTTACGTAAGGCCCCATGTGTACTGTTTTGTTAACTCTTATAGTGGTCTTTCCTTGTGGCAAATCTAGGGAGTGGGAGGAATAGTGCCCCACTGTAGGTGTCGGTGGGAGGGATAGTGCCCCACTGTAGGTGTCGGTGGGAGGGATGGTGCCCCACTGTCGGCGGGAGGGATGGTGCCCCACTGTCGGCGGGAGGGATGGTGCCCCACTGTCGGCGGGAGGGACGGTGCCCCACTGTCGGCGGGAGGGAGGGACGGTGCCCCACTGTCGGCGGGAGGGAGGGACGGTGCCCCCCACTGTCGGCGGGAGGGAGGGACGGTGCCCCACTGTCGGCGGGAGGGAGGGACGGTGCCCCCACTGTCGGCGGGAGGGAGGGACGGTGCCCCAAGGGCTAGATAAAGGCTAGCAAAGGGCGGCATCTGGCCCTCGGCTGCTGCTTGGAGACCACTGCTTTGCATTGTAGAGGAGAGATGTGGGTTCTTATCGACCCCATATCTCTCTATAAAGAGGACCTGTCACTGCTTATTTCTGTCACAAGGGATATTTGCATTCCTTGTGATAGGATTGAAAAAAATTTTTTTTTTAAAAGGGACAGTGTAAAAAAAAATGCTTAAAGTGCCCCCATCCACTTGTGCTCATGCCCAGTGGTGAATGCACACGTAGGCCACGGCCACATATGTAAACGGTGTTCAAATCACACGTGATGTATCGCTGAAAATGTCAGAGTGAGAGCAAATAATTCTAGCTTTAGACCTCCTCTGTAACTTTAAACTGGTAACCTGTAGAAATGTTTAAAGCTTCACCTATGGAGATTTTTTGAGTAACGTAGTTTAGCACCATTCCATGAGCATGCGCAATTTTAAAGCGTGACATGTTTGGTATCTATCTACTCGGTGTAACATAATTTTTCATATTTTACAAAAAAATTGGGGTATAGTTTTTTTTATTCATTAACGTTAGGGATGCACCAAAATTTCGGCCACTGAAACATACCAGCCGAAAATAGCAATGCCTATAGGAAAAAGTTAGCCAATGCAGGAGACCGTGTGTACTGCAGATGTGAGGGGGCAACTGAAAAAAGCAGGAGAGGAGCAGTGTATGCAGTGACTGGCTGTCACTATATGTCAGTGCCGGTTTCTAAATATAATTACTGGCTTTTTTTTTTTTTCTTCTCTATAGCTCACAGAATTCGCTGTCACTTTCCCACCAGCTAAAGGAAACCGTTTCTTTTTAGTTTATTTCCCAAGATAAAAGAAACAAAGCTCCAGGGAATGTGACAGCTCATTCTGTGAGCTATAGTGAAGAGAAAAAAAAAGCCTGCAATTGCATTTAAAAACCGACACTGACATATAGTGACAGCCAGTGAGGGAGCCTCTCTGTATACACTGCTCCCTCTCTGTATACACTGCTCTCTTCCCCTACAAAGAGGACCTGTCACTCATATGCTATCACATAGGGGACTATTGTTCCCCTATGTGATGGCAATAAAATCATAAGTTAAATAAAATATAAATAAATATACATGAAAGTAGAAAAAAAGCAAAAAAAAATTGGAGCCTCCCCACCCCCCACAGACGCAGACATTTTGGGTTCGGTTTTTAGCCACATGCAGTCTGAATTTTTAATTTCGGTTTCGGCACCAGAATTTTAATTTCGGTGCACCACTAATTAAAGTGTAATTTTTCCTAAAGAAATTACTTTTGAAAAATACACATTTTTATAAACTGTCCATTTTTGGTTTTCGGCCAAGTGCATCCTGAGTTTTCGGTTTCGGCACCAGAATTTTCATTTTGGTGCACCACTAGAAAAACCCTTCTGGTTTGTGTGTTTGAGGAGTTTTCTGGTAAAACAACTCTCCACACTCCTAGACGCATGCACAGAAACGCTCTACACCCTTTTCCAAATTATTATGTAAATTATATTTTTCTCATTTACCTAAATGATGTTCATAACAGTCAGCATAATTCTCATGTTATCAACTATTAAGATTACAATTCAAATTTTATTGAACAAACCTCCTAATGATAACAGGATTTGTTTTAAACAAAAAACACTTCCAATGAACTGTTCCAAATTATTACGCACAGTAAGTTTCAAAACACTTTATAGGTTGTAAGGAACTGAAAATTGTCATTTGTTGTGTTTGCAGCATATTTACTGAAATCAAAAGCCATTTCAATCAAACTTTTAACAACATTTTAACTTTTTAAACATTTGAACCGGTCACGTTACATTTTAACATAGGACCCCTTATTTGATAGCAGCTTCACAAGTCTTGCATCCATTGAACTTGTGAGTTTTTGGACAGTTTCTGCTTGAATCTGTTTGCAAGATGTCAGAATAGCCTCCCAGAGCTGCTGTTTGGATGTAAACTGCCTCCCACCCTCATAGATCTTTTGCTTGAGGATGCTCCAAAAGTTCTCAATAGGATTGAGGTCAGGGGATGATGGAGGCCACACCATGACTTTCTCTCCTTTTATCCCCATAGCAGCCATTGATGCAGAGGTATTCTTTGCAGCATGAGATGGTGCATTGTCATGCATGAAGATGATTTTATTACGGAAAGC